TATACTATAGAAAATAATGTAAAGTTAAAAATTTTTTTAATCCAGTGATTGCAAAATTGAAATCAAAAGGGATTAAGGGAAGAAAACAACAGACAGATATACATATACTAATATAGGCATTCATTCTGTTAATATTGAGTAATTACTATTTGTCAGACACTGTTTTAGGTATGAGGAAATGACAGTGAGCAATACAAAGGCCACATTCCCATGGAGTTAAATTCCAGAGGCGGAGACAGTTAAATTAATACTTAAATATAAAACAGATTCTCTAAACCCAGAAAACTGAAGAACAACAAGAAAATAAGGAGCATTATATAGCCTAGACTGCAGAGACTGAAGATAAAGTTGGCAATTTTTCCTAATTAACAAATTCACTGTAATTTCAGCCAAAATGTTTCATTGTATTTCTTCCCCTTTAGCTTCACAAGTTTGTTCTGAAATTTTTCTATGAGGTATAAATTCTTAAGAACAGCAAGAAAATTATCGAATCTCCTTGTAGAAACTGCATAGGATGACGGTTCAAACCAGTAGAGAAAGATTTGATTTGGGGGTATTAGGATAATTATATACCTCACTAGTAGTAAGGGAAATGCAAAATAAAATCACAGTGAACTATTTCAAAATCCTCACATTAGCAAAAGCATTAGAGTGCCAATTACTGGAAAGATGTGGAGCAATAGGAACACTCATATGGTGCTACTAGAAGTAGTTGTATTTAGCATAATTTGGTAATGTCTAGTAAAGTGGAAGATGTGAATAATCTTTGACCCAGCAATTCCATGTTTAAATCTCTACATAGTCTCTCCTTGTGAGAATGAAAAGTTGAAAGCAATCTAACCATTAGGCTAAATACAAGATAGAATACAAATTAAAATGAATAATGAGATATTTCTGTCAACATGGGTAAAACTCAAAAATAGCCTTATTAAAGTTGAACTACAGAGTATTTTGTAAACATAGTATACCATATACAATTTGAAAACATGCTAATTAGTGTTATGTATATTTTTGATGGCTAAATACTATATAAAAAGAATCCATAAAATAATCCTCAGATTCAGAACCATGGTGACCCACAGGGAGAAAGACAAATGAGACTGGGGAAAGGATGCAAATGAAAATATCTTTAATTATTTCTTTCAAAAATAAGCAAATACTGTATAGCCAATTCTTATACTTTGATAAAGCTGATTGTGAGTATATGAGTCAGTTGTTACTCTGTCTTTCTGTATATTTAAACTATTTCATAATGCAAAAAAATAAAAGAACATTTAAAAGATGTTTGCTTCTGTCAGTTCTCTTCTGTCTTTTTTGAGATGGAGTCTCACTCTGTCATCCAGGCTGTAGTGCAGTGGCATGATCTTGGCTCACTGCAACCTCTATCTCCTGGGTTCGAGCGATTTTCCTGCCTCAGCCTCCCAAATAGGTGGGAATGCAAACACGTGCCACCTCACCCAGCTAATTTTTAGTAGAGACCACGTTTCACCATGTTGGCCAGGCTGGTCCTTCTGACCTCAGGTGATCTGCCTGCCTTGGCTTCTGAAAGTGCTGGGATTACAGGCATGAACCATTGCACCCATACTGTCAGTTATGTTCTTACAAGTCCTCAGGTGTGCCACTGGTGTTCCTGTATTCACCATTTTCTTCAGAAAGAAGCTTACATATGGTCTATTTCCAGAGGTGACCATTTAACAATTTTAAGACTACCTTTCCATGTTTGACTGGTTTGAGAATGATGCTTTATGCTAATGGTTTTATAAGCCTAATTTTTCCATCATCATTCTTAACTGTTTTCAGCATCCCATTGTATATGCATCATGATTTGATAATTTCTCTTTGTGTACTAAGTGTCCAGAATTGTGGGCCAATTACTATCTTTTCTGATCAATTTTCTATCAATTTTCTCAGATGTTAAAGGGAGATAATTCTTTGTTTTAGAACTGTTACATGCATTTGTCAAAATACATGTGAAATTTACAGCAGTATTTAGTAAAAGTTATTATTTTATAAAATATACGGGAGGGTGTAAGGAAACTGGGGAACAGAAATGACATGAAGCCATTACAGTAGAAGCAGGCAGTGGAGACTAAAATTTACTTCAGACAGGCAGCATGCAGAAACAAAAATACACAGTAACTCTGGATTTTAAAATGTATGCCTAACAACTTAGTCACTGTGATTATAATCAACATCCAGCAGAATTTGTTGATAGCCTCACATTTTTAGTATATTTTTCTCATTTATAAGTCAATGAAAAAATAAGCAATTAAGAATATCAAGGAAATTGTCTACCACTGTTTAAGAGAGACCTCAGATATCCATACCTGAATGATGGAAAATATCACTAAGAAACAGGATGGCAGAGTGAGGGAGAGGGCTTGTCCACCAGACTCCAACACAGTGAAGTGGAAAGTGAAGCAGGATATTGCCTCTTCCCTATTGCCTCATTGATATCCTGTAGATTGAGATACTTGTGTAATCTGAGCTACAGCCCAGTGTCTTTTTATTTATCTATTTATTGAGACAGAGTCTCACTCTGTTGCCCAGGCTGGAGTACAGTGGGGTGATCTCAGCTCACTGTAACCCCTCTGCCTCCTGGGTTCAAGCGATTCTCCTGTATCAGCTTCCTGAGTAGCTGGGATTACAGGTGTGTGCCACTATGCCCAGCTAATTTTTGTAGTTTTAGTAGAGACGGGATTTCTCTATGTTGGTGAGGCAGGTCTCGAACTCCTGACCTCGTGATTCTCCCACCTCTATCTCCCATTGTGCTGGGATTATGGGCGTGAGCCACTGTGCCCGGCCACCCAGTATCTTAAAGTAGTAAAGAAAATAAAAACTCTGCCTATGTCATAGGTCTCTAGGATGTGGAATATCATATCACTGTGTATAAATCCTATGCTCATGGACAGCTCTGAGGTGAGCTGTATTCACCAGGCAGCCAGTTATTCAACATGGATTATAGACTGGCAAGTGGATACAAAAGCTGGTGGGTATGAAGTGGTACTACTTGTAAAGTGGTTTTATTTGCATTTCCCTGATGACTGATGATGTTGCACATCCTTTCTTGTGTGTATTGGCCATTTGTATATCTTCTTTGGAAAAATGACTATTCTAATCCACTTCCAATTTTAAATTGAATTGCCTTTTTATTGTTGAG